CAACAAACAAGCTGGAGTAGCCATTCTAATATCAAATAAAATCAACTTTCATCCAAAATTAATCAAAAAAGATAAGGAAGGACATTTCATACTCATCAAAGGAAAAATCTACCAAGGAGAACTCTCAATTCTGAACATCTATGCTCCAAATGCAAGGGCACCTACATACATAAAAGAAACTTTACTAAAGCTCAAAACACATATTACATCTCACACAATAATAGTGGGGGATTTCAACACCCAACTCTCAGCAATGGACAAATCATGGAAACAGAAACTAAACCAAGACACTTTGAAATTAACAGAAGTTATGAACCAAATGGACTTAACAGACATCTATAGAACATTTCATCCTAAAACAAAAGAATATAACTTTTTCTCAGCACCTCATGGTACCTTCTCCAAAATAGATCATATAATTGGTCACAAAACAGTCCTTTACAGATACAAAAAGATTGAAATAATCCCTTGCATCTTATCAGATCACCACGGACTAAGACTGGTCTTTAATAATGACAAAACCAATGGAAAACCCATATGCACATGGAAACTGAACAACACTCTACTCAATGATGACTTGGTCAAAGAAGAAACAAAAAAAGAAATTAAAGACATTAAATGTGCAGTCACCAAAGGTCGATACTGATGTGGAAGTCAGGAAGTACATGCTGATAAGAGCCTGATATGGATGTCTCCTCAGAGGTCTGCAAGAGTCTGACATATTCAGAGGCAGATGCTCACAACTAGCCATTGAACTGATAATTGGGTTCCCAATGGAGGAGTTAGAGTGAAGACCATTGGAGCTGAAAGGGTTTGTGGCCCCATGAGGAGAGCAACAATACCAACCAACCACAGCTCCCATGGTCTAAATCACCAGCCTGGGAGCACTTAGGGAGGGATCCATGGCTTCAGCTGTATATGTAAGAGCGGAGGGCCTTGCTGGGCATAGGTGGAAGAAGAGATCCTTGACTTCATGAAGGCTGGACGCCCCAGGGGGTGGGAATTTGAGGGTGTGGAGGTGGGAGTGGGGGGTAGGTAGGGGTTTCATCCACAGAGAAGGATGAGTGAGGGGATAGGGGGTTCCTGGGTGGGTGGTGGATGGGGTAAGGGGACAACATATGAAATGTAATAAAATGTAAATAAAACATCCAATAAAAAAAAAAAGAAAAGCAGAACTAAAATTACAAGTTGGCTAAATCACTCCAGGAAATGGCTGACCACAAGGTAATGACTAGGTTAAGGTCATATTCCTGAGAAAAATGTGTATAGGATGTCTCACACTCCCCACCCTGGTTTATCACCAGCTAAATAATAAGTAGAGAACTTTCTGCTATTTTTATGGTATGGGTTGTAATTTTTCACTACTCCTTCTTGGCTTCCCCCTTCACTCCCCCCCCCAGGGTTTGTGGGTTTTTTTCCTTGAAATACCCCTGGCTCCCGAGCCTCGGAGTCAAGACTCCTCTGCCCTTGCATGGGTTACAAGTCTCATCCTCAGCACTGATTCTGCCCAAATAAACCTCTTGCTGTTGCATCAAGTCTGGTCTCTCCCAGTTTCTTGGGTGGTCAGTTTTCCCATGACTCGAGTGAGGGTCTCCCCTCTCTGGGGGTCTTTCAGTCCAAGTATTGCTGTTTGCAGATTATATGATAATTTGTATAAGCAACCCCAAAAATTCTACCATAGAACTCCTTCAAGTGATAAACACCTTCAGCAAACTGGCTGGATGCATGATTAACTCAAAAAAAAAATGAGTACCCCTCCAATATACAAATGACAAACAGATTAAGAAAGAAATCAAGGAAACAACAACCTTAACAATAGCTAAAAATAATATAAAATATCTTGTGGTAACACTAATCAAGCAAGTGAAAGACTTGTATGATTAAAACTTCAAATTTTTGAAGAAAGAAATTAAAGATATCAGAAGGTGGAAAGATCTCCCATGCTCATCAATTGGTAGGATCAACAAAGTAAAAGGCCATCCTACCAAAAGCAACCTACAGATTCAACACTATCCAGATTCCCCTCAACCAAAGAATGGATACAGGAAATGAGGCTCATTTACACAATGCAATACTGCTCAGCTATTAAAAACAAGGACATCATGGATTTTGCAGGCAAATGGATGGAACTAGAAAATATCATCCTGAGTGAGGTAACTCACACCCAAAAGGACATGCACAGTATGTACTCACTTATAAGTAAATATTAGCCATAAAGTATAGTCTATTCACATTACATTCCACAGATTCAAAGAAGCTAAACAAGAAGAAAAACCCAAGTGAGAATGCTCGAATCTCACTTGGAAGGGGGAATAAAAGAGTTGTAAGAGGCAGACAGAAGGAGGTAACTAGGAGGAATGTGGGATGCAGAGGGGAATGGAGAGGTCAGAGTGTCCCCACTCCACACATACCACACACCATCAGGCCTTCTCATTCCCTGGGGCCTCAAGTATCCCAAGGGTTAGGTGCATCTTTTCTCACTGAGACCAAACCAGGCAATACTCTGCTGTAAATGTGTCAGGAGCCTCAGACCAGCTAGTGAATGCTGCCTGGTCAGTGTCTGAGAGATCTCAGGGATCCAGGTTTGTTCAGACTGCTAATCTTCCTATGGAGTCACTCTCTTCCTCAACTACTTCCAGCCTTTCCCTAATTCAACCACAGGGGTCTCTGACTTCAATCCATTGGTTGTGTGTCAGAATCTGCTTCTGTCTCAGTCAGCTGCTTGTTGGGCCCCTCAGAGGGCAGCCATGCTTGGCTCCTGTCTGTAAGCCTACCATAGCATCAGTAGTAGTGTCAGGCCTTGAAGCCACCCCTTGAGATGGGTCCCAATTTGAGCCAGTCACTGGACCTCCTTTCCTTCAGTCTCTTCTCTATTTTTGTCCTTGTAGTTCTTTTAGACAGGAACAATTCTGTGTCAATGTTTTTGACTGTGGGATGGCAACCCCATCCCTTCATTTGATGCCCTGTCTTTCTACTAGAGGTGAACTATACAAGTTCCCTCTCCCTACTATAGGGCACTTCATCTAAGGTCTCTCCCTTAAGTCTTGAGATTCTCTCACTTCCCAGGTCTCTGATACATTCTAGAGGGTCCCCCTACCTCCCATCTCCCAAGGTTGCCTGTATCCATTCATTCTGCTGGGCTCAGGGCTTCACTCTTATTCCCCTGCCCCAGTACCTGATCATGTTCTCCTTTTCCCCTGCCCCTCTCCCATCCAGTTCCCTTCCTCCCTCTTCCCTCTGCTTTGGATTAAGATTTTTTAATCAGTCAGAATATAATTTCTGGGGCTAGGGAGATGAATCTGTGAGCTAAATGCCTGCTGAGAAAGCATAAGGACCTGTGTTCAATCCCCAGCCCCTACATGAAGAAAAAGTAAATAAGGCAGCATGCTTCTGTAACTCCAAGGCTGGATGTCCAGAGCTCACTGACAAGCCAGTCTAGTGGTATCTATAAGCTTCCAGTTCAATGTGAGACACCAAAAACAATTCTCTAAAATATCTAAAAATAAAGCAAAGAGGCAGGAGGAGCCATACCACTCCTGGAGATCTGTGAACAGTTAATTAATGGTTACTGAGGGAAGGAGAGGCATTTCCTTCATCAGGAGAGCCATGTGTAAGCTAACCATGAACCTGTAAGTAAATCCTCAAAAAGTTATCACAAGTGATCCTTATTAAACATATTGTTCACTAAAAATAAAAGAGAGAAACATGACAAAAGAAGGGGGGCTGATTGGTAAAAGGAAGGGGATCAACAGAGTGAAAGGAATGCAGGAATAATGGGTGACTGTTATCAAAATACAGTGTATAAATGTATATATGTCAGAGTATACTCATCATTACATATAGCTAATATATGCTAAATTTAATTTTGAAAAAATGAAAAATAAGGCAGGGCATATAATTGTATAAAACATCAGAGTGAACCTCATCATTGTATACAGCTAATATATGCTAAAAGTAACTTTTTGAAAAATGAAAAAATAAGGCAGAAAAAACTTCTGACATAGATCTCTGACCTATAGAGACACACACATACAGTAAAACAATATCAAATGTGAAGAAATTATCCCACAGATAAGATCTAATAAAAAGCTGGCTTTAAAAACTTGGGGGCAAATCTAATAGAAAAGAGTATTGGCAAGGTTTGAATGCATTAGAATTTTTTGTCCTTTTTGCTTTCAATGTCCCTGTGTGTGCCTACCCAAAACTTGTCCTGTGCTTTTTTCCTTCCTTAGCTTTGTCCCTTTCGATAGCCTCTGCCTATATGGTTCTTTTCATTGGTCAACTTGCAAAGTTCCAGCCATCCTCTCATCTCAATGTGCTCAATCAGGAAGAGTCTACTGAGTGTCTTTCATATGCCAGTTGGAATTTTGTAAAAGCCAATATGTCACATCGGATTCCAAAGACCTCACTGCTCCATTACCACAGTGCTCATACATGATCCTTATTTTCCAGGTGAGATAAAAATAAACAGAAGGGAACAGAGAGATGGCTCCATGATTAAGAGCCATCTACTCTTGCAGATGACCCAAGTTCTATTCTCAGCAACCACGTGGTGGTTCACAACTGTCTGTGATAGCAGCCACTGCACATACAAAGCAGACATAGAGGCAAAATAGTCATGTACATAATATAAAAGTAAGTGAATCTTTAAATCTATGGATGAGAATTGGGTGTAACTTTCATTTTACTGTCTTTCTCATTGTAGTTCAATGATTTCAAATATCTAAGCACTCTAGTGCCAAACATTTCTCTCTGTGTTCTCCAGGGATCACTTATTTCTTTGCTGTGAAACTGAGTCAACCTGTCCTCTGTTTCAGCTCAGTACATCCAGCCCTGAACATCCAGGTCATTCTTTGTCTCTTAGAGCACCCAGCACAACCTCATCTCTCCATTCAGACACCTTGAAGCCCTTGACAAATTGAACTGTATTTAATTGGTTCAGTGACTAAAACAGGAAGCAAATGTGGGTGTGGAAACTCTGACAGCTGCTGACCCAGGCCTCGCCCAGGAAAGAAGTGGAGAGGACTTTGGATCATTCTAAATGAATCGCCGAACTGCACAGGGTGCAGTCGATTTCTCAGGAAGAAAGTTTTCTACAGCAAAGAGTTGGGAACAGGAGCAAGAGAGACTTACTTGACAACCGGGCACAGTAAGGTGAGTGAGTGTACATGATCAAGTGTTTGTAGGATTTGCTGCGGAATGGAGATAAGGGGGGTTGTCAAATGAGAAGTAGGGAAGGTAGGTAGGGAAGGAAGACACTGGAAAGGTGTATTGGATGAGAAACATTGAAGGGTATATTGTACTCATTTTCTTGTGTCTGTTCCAAAAACAGAATGGAAGAGGAAGAGAAACTTTTAAAGGCATACCAACTCACTGGGTAAGGGTTAATGCTGGGACTCCTATGACCTCCAAGTGTGTGACATGGAACACACACATACACACACAGGCAAATAATAAATAAAATGACCCTAGAAAATTGAGCAGGACAACACACACACTACACTGACAATAGACTTCCCTTGAACACAATGACCTCCATTTTTCTAATATGTACATGACACTGGAGAAGTCAACACTATTCTCACACTCTCCTTTTCCAAAGTCTAAGAGAATTGAACTCAATGTTCCCCAAGAGTCTTTCTACTTGTGAAACTTTGTGATCAGATAATTCCAATGTATATAAAACAGGATCAAAACAGTAGGAGACGTGCAAAGAGGCAAAAGGCACAGCCTGTCTTCTGATAGTACCTAACCTCTCTAGGCTTTACTTTTTTCATCCATGGGACAGGTTAAAATTCTAAGAGAGGCATTTGTAAAGTGTTGGTTGCCTGGCATACTCAACAAGCCCTTTAATGGAAGTTTAACATTGTCTCTAAGATGGGGCTAACAAGTATACGGGGTTGAATTGCTCAGGTAAAAATCATTCTTGGTTATTTTAAAGTGTTTGATGTCCTATATGTGTGCGTATGTATGCACGTGCTCAAGTATGTGTGTGCACATGCATATGAAAACCACAAGTCTATATTGGGGGTCTCCCTTACTCACTCTCCAGAGATTCCATCTCTCCTGCCCCACAGGTGCACTTGACAATAAAGATAATAAGGACAATAAAGTCAATAGCAATAGACATGTCTTTATTATTATTGATCATTATTATATTTTATTTACTTATTGTGTCTGGCCACACAGTGCCACTAAATGTTCTTGGAGATTAGAGAACAAGTTTTGGGAGTCAGTTCTCTCTTTCCACCATGTGAGTCTCAGGGTCCAAACTCAGGTCACCAGGCAGAAGTGACTTTACCTGCTGAGTTGTCTCACTGGCCCTATACTTGGCTTTTTACAAAAGGTGCTGGGAAATCCAAACTCATATCCTAATGTTTGTTGAGCAAGTAGCTACTGACTGAGCTATCTCCCCAGCCTCTTGAAGTCTTTTTAAAATGTAAACACAAGTATATAAATGATGAGTGATTCTGTTGTATTTATTTTTTCATCAGCATGAATACAGTTACTTCACCGGGCCCCATGGCCAATTCTGCTTATGTGGTGCCACCCCACAACAGTTATCCTGTGGTCCCCGGAACTGTGCCTCAGGGGCCTCTTTATCCCAGCCATCAGCCTCAAGTCCACGTGATTTCTGGTAATCTGCCTGGTTTGGTGCCAGCCGTGACCGAACTGCCTGCCCAGAGAGTCTTGAAAAAGGGACAAGTCCTAGGGGTAAGTAAGTTCACTGTGTGAGCAACATGCTACAGAAAGAGGAAAGCAGAGGCTTGAGACAGACTAATAGAACTTCCAAATAAGGGACCAGGGAACAGGGTGGTTCAGTTAGTAAAGTGTTTAGTGCAGTGTCAGCAAGCTGAGTGCTATCCGCAGAACCCACCTTACATAAGCTGTAGAAATGCACACTCGTAATCCCAGAACCAGGAAGTCAAAGACAGGTAGATGTCTGCAGCTCTCTGCCCAGTCAGCCTAGCTTATTTAGTGAGTTCCAGGCCAGTGGGAGACCCTGACTCAAAAAAAAAAATGTAAAGGGCACCTGGGGAATTATAACCAAGGTAGATGTCGGCCTCATCCTACATGTACACGCACACACACACATACACACACACACTCACATACACACATACACAAAAAAGTACATAGTACCTAAGGAACCACACCCCAAACCTGTGCACAAATATGCACATCTATATAAATATGTATTCATGCACATGCATACATACATACATACATACATACATACATACATACATACATACAAAAAGAAAGAAAAAAACTTCAAATAAAGCAGGTGGGGCTGGCTTAGCCAAACCCAGGTCTGCTGGAAATCTCTTCAGCACAAGGAGCCTCAGTATATGGCCTTGTAGTTTTTGATTTGGGCATTTAGAAACAAAGAATAATTTTTTTAAAAAAAGGCAAAAAGCAGTGTTCTTGGATGCAGAATCTTTTGCCTCTAAGTATTTGCTTCCTATAGTTTAGGAAGAAAGAAAGTTCAACAAAGAGAAAGTTTCCCAAAGGTGTAACAAAGTCCAGGGTTGCTGAATCAAAGCAGAAAAAAGGCAAGCAGGCTAAACAATCAGCAATGCCTGAAAAACATAAAGGAGTTCATTTCATTGCATAGCCCATGAATGACAAGCAGTGATTCTGACCCAGACTGTCAATGTTTCAATCCCAACTCATGTTCTAATCTTGCATAGGGAAATCTAAAAAGAGGCAACTTGTACACACACACACACACACACACAATGGTTTATTTCTGAGACTTTATCCTCCAAATATACCAATAGGCATAAGAAATGTGGTACCTATAAATTTCTTTGTTCCAGCATGGCTTGTAGAGACTGAAGGATGGAAGCAACTGAACTATCTAGTTTTGTTTCTGTTGCTGTGGTAAAATACTCTGAGGAAAAGCAAAAGGTGGAGTAAGATGTTGGTTTGGCTTACAGTTCCAGGTTAGCAAAGAAGTTGAAAAAAGAAGTTGAAGCATCTTACATCACATTCACAATCAAGAGCAGAGGGAAACAAACGCATATATGCCATCTTCTCACTCTTGTCTGGCTTTCTTCTATCCTATACAGTTCAGGATTGCTGTCTAGGGAATTGCGGTGCCCACAATGGACTGAGTCTTCCTACATGAATCAGTGATGGAGACAATCCCCCTCAGACATTCCAACAGTCTAACCTAATCTAGATAGTTCCTCATTAATACTGTCTTCCCACGTGATTGTGGTTGTGTCAAGGTGACAGTTAAAAGTAACCAGGACACTATACATCAGTTTAACATTGGTCAAGAGCCACTGTGTTGTACTTACAACAAACAGAATGGTGTGGAAATAGTTGTGCAATGAATGGGTCTTACGCCAAGGTATGATATTAATATACTGTTAGTATGAACGTAAGAAAACAATATATGCTTTTTATACCTGTCTTCAGGAAACACACACACATGTGGGGAAAATTTAGAGGCCGCCACAGCGGTGGGGCCCTGGAGGGGCTTCCATGCTGCGGAGGGTCCCACATTCGGGAGGAACCCTATGGTTCCAGCGGCCTGGAGGCTTTGGCAGCAGCAGGCCCCAATGACACGAGGAAGTCCTTGGTTCCAGAAAGGTTTATTGTCATGGTGGATGGTGGATGGATCTAGGTGTACTCCCCCAAAACTCAGGGCAGTGCCGAGTTATATAGGGAGGGAGAAAGGGGGAGGATTGGGGGAGGATCTGTGGGGAGGCATGCTTAATTTGCTCTGCCCTCTGGCCTTCATTAGTATGTAAATCCCTAGGGCCTGAGGCCTATAGTCTGGCCTATGTGACTGAACAATGTAATTCTATGGAGACGTGACTGCTTTTCAGGACCCTGGATTCTGGAGGGCACCAAACTCCTGCCGGTTCTCACACAGAGTCTCGGGGTTCTAGGCACCTGCTCAACCCAGGATAGCCTTACGCAGTCACACACACACACACACACACATACACACACACACACACAGCTGCATCTGTATTCACTCCATATGGCTGCTATAATAAAGTTCCATGAACTGGTGGCCAAGAGCTACAGAAATGCATTGTCTCTCAGTTATGGATAATAGATAACTAAGATCAAAGTCTGTCAAGGTCATACTCCCTCTGAAGGCATGAAGGAATGATCTCTTCCAGATCTTTCTCCCAGTTTCTAGTAGTGCCTTGATTTGCTGCAGTACCACTCCAGTTCTCAGATGGCTGTTATGTTTTATGTTGGTTTTGGAGGTAGGCCTTGGATTCAGAATCCTGGGTTTGCGTGACTTTTTTTTTTTAAAGTAATGACACTGGTAATATTGGATTGCGGATCACCTTATCCTAACACAAATATGAGTCATCTTGACTCATGACATCAGCAATATACCTATAAGGTAATATTCAGAGAGACTAGAACACTAATATGTGGATTTGGTAAAGAGTAAAGAAAGATAAAATTGAATTTATGAGATAAGGAAAAGATGCAGGCAAAATAATTACACACAAGGATGCAGAACACAAGGCTGTGTGTAATATAAAAAAAACTAGAGGTCACCTTACCTGTCTAACATCAGTGTTATAACTTTTCCCAGAGACTGTAGGAAACCCTTAGAGAATATTTTAAAAGGCAGCTAGTGAGTACAAAAGTGGTTAAGGTAGCAAAGGTAGCAAAGTACTTGCCGTGTTAATGTAAAAACCTGAATTCAGATCCCAGGTAACCATGTAAAAGCCAGGTAAAACAGCATGAGCCTATAATACCTGGGGAGGCAGAGACGAGAGGATCCTTAGAGATTGCTGGCCATGTTGGTCAATTGGTGAACTGCAGGTTTGGTGAGAGTGCCTGTCTCAGAAAAAAATAAGATGGAGAATGACTGATAAAGACATATCTCTCTCTCTCTCTCTCTCTCTCTCTCTCTCTCTCTCTCTCTCTCT